ATATAAATTTTTTATTTTTTTTTAACACTTTCTGGTGGATGCTTTTGTGGTTTCGATTTAAAATTCTGGTTTAATCCACAGAATGTACTTTTTAAAGCACAATAGCTTGTTTTCAGGTTTCTTGCGTCCCTATTATAAATGACCCGGTAACGACAATCTTACATGAAAAAACAATCTCTCTCCCCATCGGGTTTGTTTTTCTGTTCCTCCTATAATTCTGCTTCATAAATGCCAGCGGTTCATTTAGTCGCTGTCTAATTAACATGCGCACGGCTGCTCCAATCCCTGATCAGCAGGCCGCTGTATGTAAATGTGATTAACCAGAGGGGCAGATGGGTAATGTCTCTCTTTATGAAGTGAGTGATGTTTTTCCATTTGGCTGGTAATCGCCGTGGTGATGATGATGGAATGCGTCGTCGTGACTCCCTGATCGCTAATGACCTCTCATCACCCCGAGAGCTGGACGCAATTATACGGAGAGCCGACCTTTGACCCTTCACCTTTGAGCACAAGCTGATCAGACTGTTTCATGATAGACTCGGGAGTTATTCAGATGGAAAATGAGTTTGTTAAAGCAGGGATTGGATGATTCTTGTTTGTGTGCTTCTTAAAGCTTTCTGTGTTTCTTTCCTGATGTGTTTCTGTGGGAAACTGTAAAACAAACAGAAGCAAATGAACCCAGAACAGTAATTAAGAACTGGACTGTTTTTAATGTGTGTGTGTGTGTGTGTGTGTGTGTGTTTTAGCTGAAGAAGCTGGTGTATGTGTACCTCGTCCGGTACGCAGAGGAACAGCAGGATCTCGCCCTCCTGTCAATCAGCACCTTTCAGCGGGCGCTCAAGGTAATCCCGCCTCTTTCCTCTCCCATGATGCTCTCTTTACTCTTTAATCAGAATAAAACTGAAATTATGATATGACTTTGAGCGATTATCAAATCACAAAGGCTGCAATTTAATGAAATAAATATACTGTAGTATTCTGTAAGGTTATTGTAAAGTTTAAAGTGGTGTAATTTTATAGTTGTAATATAAAATAACATTATTACATAATTTTTTTTTATTTTGGTAATGTAATATATAGTATAGTGTTTGTGTATAATATCTAGTGTAGTAGAAATAGCAATATTTCTAATTAAATAAATATACTGCAGTTTTCCGTCAAAATAAAAGTGTGATGGTTTAATGTGTGAAAAATGACACTTCTGAATATTGGTTTTGTAGTTGTGATGTAAAATAAAATGATCATTTTTCTTTTTCTTAAATACACATTTTTTGTTTTAAGTAATATATAGTATTTGAATATAATGTAGTATACTGTTTTAGTAATATTTAATGCTTATCATATCGCAAAGGCTGCGATTTAATTAAATAAAAATAAATGGTGGTTTTCCATCAGAATAAAAGTTTGATGGTTTAACATGTGAAAGTGAAGAAATCAAGGCAGCCATAAATATTAGTTCTGTAATTTATAGTTGTAATGTAAAATAAAAGTATTATCTTATTTTTCTTAAATGCTTGATTTTTTTTATTTTAGTAATATAATATATAGTATAGCATTTATTTGTAAAGGGTTTTAGTAATATATAAAATGGCATTAATAGTGTTATTTATTGTTCTATTTGTATTTTATTTTTAGTTAGTAATAAAAATAATGAAATGTTGTAATTAATGCTATTATTATTATTATTTTATAGCCATATTAATATATATTCCGAAAATTTTGACCAAAATGTGCTGCCCTACAAACAAGCACAGCAAATTCGATTTCTCCACAAATAACGCAGCACTAGTCTCCTCCAGTTAAGCTCGGCCCCTTTGTGCATAGAGTGAAAGTTTTGCCTGTATTTTAGATCAGCCCTAACTTAACACATGTCTTCATCATTGGTGTGTGTAGGATCCCAATCAGCTGATCAGAGCGAGCGCTCTCAGGGTCCTGTCTAGCATCAGAGTTCCCATCATCGTCCCCATCATGATGCTAGCCATCAAAGAAGCAGCCACCGACCTTTCACCTTATGTGCGGAAAACCGCCGCTCACGCCATTCAGAAACTCTACAGGTAATACACGCATTCACACAGTTGTGCTCACTGAATGTTAACGAACGAGTGTTTTACAGAGGTCTCTGCTTTTGTCTTCCAGTCTGGACCCAGATCAGAAAGAGCATCTGATCGAAGTGATTGAGAAACTTCTGAAAGACAAAAGCACGGTAAAATCTCCACACACACACACACACACACACACACACAACCAGTTTTTTCATTATATGTCTATTACTATTATTAAACTATCATCAAAATTGTATTAGTGATGAAAATGTAAAACAAATTACTAAGATTTAATAGGATTAAATGGTCTGTTTTACATTGAAATTGGAAACAGAATTCATGTTTACTTTATGAAATTGTTTTTCTTTAAGCCTTTGTTAGGAAATGTTGCACTGAATTGTGTAAACTTGAAAAATGTTATTCTAAAAAATGTTTTTTAATTAATAATTAAAAAAATATATATATTTATATATTTTTTCTGTTATTTTTGTATTTTTAAGTTTGTTTGGAACAGGGTTATTATAGTTAACTAAAGTTTTTACTAGAAATAAAATTAAACTTGAACTCAAATTAAATAAAATGTAAAAAAAAAAAAAAAAACTGTTCCCACAAGGAACCAATTATGTAAGTTAAAATAAAAGTAATAAAGGTAATACAAGAAAGGTATTAAATTAAGTCTAAATTAAATGACAAATAAAATCATTTAATTCTGCTTTCACACAGGTGGGAAATTAAAATAATAAATACATGGGATTAAAACATTTGATTTTTTGATTTAGATTTTTTTTTTTATCTGCCTGTACAATATTGAAAAACTTTTCTTTAGCTTTTATCAGAGTGAAATTGACTGGATTTACAATCTGACCAGCTATATTCTAAAAAAGCTGTTTTGGCACAGTATGCCTTATAAATATACAAATGAGCTTTCTCTTTATTTATTCCTTCCCTTTCTAGCTTGTACTTATTTGAACAATGCCTAGAACTGGGTATTACAAACACTTCATGTGTCTGTTTGCCTCTTTAAGAAGAATTGCTTTATGTATTCCCCAATTGTAAGTTGCTTTGGATAAAAGCTTCTGCAAAATGCAATGACTAAATGTAAATTTACAGCGTACAGCCACCAGGTGGCGTAACAACACCACATTCATATCTCTCTGACTTCCCAGCTCTATCACTATTCCTCTCTCTATCTAAAACACTTCTGGCAGTAAAATAAACACTTTCTGAACTCAACACATTCCCGCCAGGGCCTTGGACAAAGTCTCAGCAACACATTATCTTAAAACTTTCCTGCCGGCCTCAAATCTGAGTTATGTGTGAGGGGTTTCAGCTCACGTTGTCATGTTTTTTTAGTGCCGTCCTCATAGGCTTTTAGCGCAGAGCTGTATTTCACCTGTAGAGCTTCCCGAATATGCGCTGGAAATGTTTATTGTGACATAATAGACATCTCTACGAGCTTCCCCTGTACGCTGCTGAAGGAAGCTCGTGGGGATGTGTTGATGAAATATGAGCGTGTGAGTGTGTCTGCAGTCTGACCGGCAAGCACAGCATCAATCACAGCCGCGGCGCTCCAGCATCTCTCCTCGCTCGCTGATGACACAGCATTCCCTGGTTCCACTCCCGTCAGTGCGGCCCGGCCTTAATTAGAATTCATGACAAAATGGATCCAGGGAAACGTCCTGTACCCTTCATAATTTTACAGAAAATGTATTGTTATTAGAGGAACCATTTGCTTAGTGTGATTTTTCCATTAAGGTCTTGTCAAGCAGCAGAGATAGCAGAGCTTTGTTGATGAGGTGTGTGTAAGTAAGAGCTTTGCTGATGGTGGATGGAGTTTACCTTGGAGTTCCTGTTGGGTAATATAGGAATGGAAAGATGGGGAGACGCTTGTTAAGATGAGCAGGAAATAGAAAGATAGAGTAAACGAAAGAAATTAAGATTTTATTAAATATAATAATTTTATATTATTATTTGGATTACACATATTTGGTAATGTAGTCGGACTACTTTTAGATTACTTTTGACCTAACTTGTCTATCATATTGACTTGAATGGGATTGTTGTGTAACATATTGATAGTACACAGTTAATATGTATTAACATTTTATAGTTATGGGAACAAGAATTCTATAAAATAAGAAGAAAGTATATCAGCTAGATTAAGATTTTATATAAAATTGATATAAATGTATGTATATAAAACAAGTAATATTTTAAATTAAATTCAACATATAATACAATATATAAATATTTATAAAATTTAATTGTTTATCAGAAAACTTTTATATTCATATATTAAAATTTTATAGTAATGGGAACAAGTAATAAATTACAAATAACAAGAAAAATTTATAAATTAGAGATTTTGTTAGATAGGTATATGATATTATTGTATTTGTTATATAAAATAAATTGATATAAACATTATGAATTAATTTATTTGTAAATTGTTTATCAGAATTAAATGTATATAAAAAGAGAGATTTAGATATGTTTGCGATATTTAACATATATGTAATGTGTATTACATATACACACAAGAAAAATTTTCTAATTAGAATTTCTAATTCTTTTTTTTAATATTTGAAATTGCTTATCAGAATAACTCAACAAGCCAAACTCACCTTTGGTGTTGTAAATAATAGCCTAAATGTTGCAAAATATGAACTCTTTCCCGCCAGCATTTTTGAAAAAAGTTGCCAGCCACCGCCAGCATTTTTATGGCCTTCGCATCTAAAATTTCATGGCCCCCAGAATATTACATTGTATGAATATCTGAACATGCAATGCATCAAAATAAAGAACAAAGCCTCTACTTTTAAACAGTTAAAAAAAGTTTTATTCTAGCTTCAAGCATTCGTTTTTTTTAATCAACATTTGAATGTAGGCAAGTATCACAAAAAAGCTGAGAAAATCGCATTTTTTATCAAATACTACATCTGGATCATATTCAGTAATATTATCAAAGCAAAGATGCAGTAGATGGCTTCCATCAGCACTCCCACAGTCCTTTACCACTTCCTGGATCGACATTTCACTCGGTAACATTAGGCAGTTTTCGTTTATATGCTGTTTATTGTCGATGATCGCATTATTTGATATATGCTTACATATGAGATTGCTAATATCTGCGTCTTCCTCACTTGTGTTTTTGATCGGGGCATTCTAGACTCGTTCAGGAGATGTGTAATAGCACCCCCGAGTGTATAACCGTGAAAACACAGAAACCCGGAAAATTTCGCGTTTGGTGGGGAAAGAGTTCATTCATGGCTGTTTGCGTAATATTTATGACTGCTAATTTTCTCAATTCACCTGCCACTGGCCGATGTGGCAAAAGGATAATTTTAAAACCTTTTATTTTTTTAAACCTTTACCCTTTCTGTAAAGGTTTAAGTGATCAGTTACATGTCATTTCGTTCCTCCGAGCTGGAACTGACGTCACATGATGATGAATGAAGCACCTGACCTGCTCAAACTCTCTGTGTGTGTGTTGTTTTCACACACTCTCTCTCTCATATACTGTAGTTCATTAGTCTAGAGTGAGAGTGGTGGGTTATATTAGCTTAGTGGGAAGCAGAACAGGTTGTCATCTTCCAAGCATCTGTTTGTTTTGAGACCACACTGAGGTTTGTAATTACGACGCATATATAACCTAATCAGCTTAATTTGCAATTATAAACCTCCAGCACAACTTTAGAGTTGCTGCAGGAGAAGCGGGTGAGTGATAATTGCACAGAAGCTTTGGTGTGTGTGTGTGTGCAGCATGTGTTTGTGTGTGTCTGTTTTTATAACTTCAGACACAGTGTAAGAGTAAATGTGTACAGATGCTTTTTCTTCTTCTTTTCATGTGTGCAAATGTAATATACATTTATAGCGAAGTGCAGTTAGGTGGTATTACAATACAATACTACCCAATATTCAAACCAACACTTTCCACATGAGCATAAAACTAATGTGACAAAAGCATAAAGCATAAAACTAATGTTAAATATATATATACACACACACACACACATACATGTAATATATGCTCTAACTAACCACTCAGTTCTTGCTTTCTTGTTTTCGCTTTTCTTTAGTTTTTAATTTTTGTGTTTGTTTATATGCTGTGTTTATCCATGTAATTTAAATATAATATTTCCCTAATGATTTCTAATGGATTGTTTGAATCACTGGTCTGTTGATTTGTCGTTCAGGTGCACAAATGTTTATTGGTAGTTTGGGTTTTTTGGTGGATGTAGATGTGGTTAGTTGTTTCTTGAATGTTTCATGTCTCATAAATTATTATAATTTGTAGAAATTCAAAATATCTGATCCAGTCCAAATTGTAATATATTTTTTTGACACCAGAACAATTGAATTATTGAAAAATAATTCAAAATTACATAAAATGTATGTAATTAGTCGAGAATAATCCAGTAGCCCAGAGGCAATTATTGCAAATGACCATATTTATTTTCATTTATCATTTGGTTTTATAAATCATAATATCAATATAATTTTATATATATATATATATATGAATGTGTGTGTGTGTGTGTGTATATATATATATATATATATAATATTGGTTTAGAGTTATTTGATTGACACCCCTGGAATGTGTAACAACCAATCAAAATCAAGAATTCTAAACTTTGCTTTACTATTGTACCAAGTAATGAAAAAAACACTTCAAACTGATGTATAATACAGTAATGGATTATAAACCTTTCATCAGAGTTAACCTAAAACCAAAATACGTTCTTGTCTTGGGACAACTTTGAACTGTTTTGATCCATTTCAAATGTTGACTACTGTTTATGAAAGTCTTCTAACAGGTGGCTAAGTTGTAAACCGTGCTGTTTATCGTGTGTTTTTTTGTAGCTGGTTGCTGGCAGCGTGGTGATGGCGTTTGAGGAGGTCTGTCCGGACCGGATCGACCTGATCCATAAGAACTATCGCAAGCTGTGTAACCTGCTGGTGGACGTGGAGGAGTGGGGTCAGGTGGTCATCATACACATGCTGACCCGATACGCCAGGACACAGTTTGTCAGCCCGTGGAGAGAGGTCAGCTACTGTCTGTGTGTTTAAGCACAAGTAGTATTTCATTATTATTTGACATATTTTTAAAGCTCAGAGATCAAATTTAGCGGTTTCATTTGAGCACAAAATTGCTGCTTGAATTTGACTCATCTGATTTTGATTTTGTTTTCTTTTTCAATGCTAGCATTGTGGGTTTCAGGTAGGAAGGAGGGATTGAGAGGAATTTATATTGTAACTCTGACTGATTTTATGTAGACTGTAGTGATGGTCTCAGGAGAGAAAGTTGCTGGTGTTCCTTTTAATCATTTTTAGAGTTGGTTTAATGACCTCTGAATTTTTTTTTTAGATGTTTTTGTTCATTAATTGTGTGTATGATTGTAGGACGCTGTGTTTGACGAGAACAGTGAGAAAACGTTTTATGATTCAGAGGAGGAGAGGAGAGTGGACCAGTCCAAACCGTACATCATGGATCCAGACCACAGACTCCTGCTCAGAAACACTAAACCACTGTTACAGAGCAGAAACACTGCAGTGAGTACACACACACACACACACACACACAGTTTAAAGAAATATTCTTGGACCAAATCTGTCATGATAAAAACAGTAATTATACTGTTATATTAAGTAACTTCTGCCATATTAAATATTGATACAGCTATATTAATTTTATATTATTATTATTATTATTATTTAAGTATTTATGTAAACTTAATATTGTAATATATGTTTATTATTTATTATTAATTAAAATGTATTATTTGTTTAAATTATTATTTAAAATGTTTTACATTGTTATTATTATTTATTATTGTTAATGATACAAATATATTATTAATTGCATTTAGTATGGTTTAAACATTTATATAATAAATACTAGTATAGCAAATATTATTAAAGCAGCATATATAGTCAATAAACATTTGGCCATTTTGAATATTTATAACACTATTAATCATAATTATTATGTTTCATATCACTTCAATATTAGTTGATAATAATAATGATAATGTAAAAATTCTACACATTATATAGTGCAATTGATAATTCTATATAAGCAGTTGTTTTATTATTTAGGCCCATTATTTCTCCTTTTTTGCTTCTCAAAAGATAGATAAGGTTTTAAGACTTTAAGGTTTAAGCCAATCATTGCTGATTTCATTCCTGTAGATAAGGTTTGCTCCATTCGCAGCCGGTTGTTGTTACATCCTTTCTTCTTTATTATTTCATATTTAATCTGTAATATTCCTTTTAAGACACTCACATACTCTCATTTATACACACATCTGCACTCTCCAGTTTTCTCGTTCTCCCTCTCTTATGCTCGTTCTTGTTCAACTCTGAGCAATAGCGAAGGCCTTCAGGATGCACCTGAGTGTGTGTGTGTTTTGTGTTTGAGTGCGAGTGTGTTTGTACATCAGAATATTAGCGCGACCAAGGCTGTATCAGACACAACTCCATCATGTTACACACACTCAGCCTTAGAAATGTGCTCAGAAAACATTATTCCCTCCTACATCACACACACAGAATGACTTGAGTGCTCCATCAACGTGGAAGCTCAAGGTCTGTGTGTATGTGTGTTTTTTTTGTTGTGTGTGTGTGTGATATGTTTTGATTAAAACTTGTCCTGCTTTGTTCTACACTCAGTCTGCACTCTGTCTAATATATGTTTATTATTTATTATTAATTAAAATGTATTATTTGTTTAAATTATTATTTAAAATGTTTTACATTGTTATTATTATTTATTATTGTTAATGATACAAATATATTATTAATTGCATTTAGTATGGTTTAAACATTTATATAATAAATACTAGTATAGCAAATATTATTAAAGCAGCATATATAGTCAATAAACATTTGGCCATTTTGAATATTTATAACACTATTAATCATAATTATTATGTTTCATATCACTTCAATATTAGTTGATAATAATAATGATAATGTAAAAATTCTACACATTATATAGTGCAATTGATAATTCTATATAAGCAGTTGTTTTATTATTTAGGCCCATTATTTCTCCTTTTTTGCTTCTCAAAAGATAGATAAGGTTTTAAGACTTTAAGGTTTAAGCCAATCATTGCTGATTTCATTCCTGTAGATAAGGTTTGCTCCATTCGCAGCCGGTTGTTGTTACATCCTTTCTTCTTTATTATTTCATATTTAATCTGTAATATTCCTTTTAAGACACTCACATACTCTCATTTATACACACATCTGCACTCTCCAGTTTTCTCGTTCTCCCTCTCTTATGCTCGTTCTTGTTCAACTCTGAGCAATAGCGAAGGCCTTCAGGATGCACCTGAGTGTGTGTGTGTTTTGTGTTTGAGTGCGAGTGTGTTTGTACATCAGAATATTAGCGCGACCAAGGCTGTATCAGACACAACTCCATCATGTTACACACACTCAGCCTTAGAAATGTGCTCAGAAAACGTTATTCCTTCCTACATCACACACACAGAATGACTCGAGTGCTCCATCAACGTGGAAGCTCAAGGTCTGTGTGTATGTGTGTTTTTTTGTAGTGTGTGTGTGATATGTTTTGATTAAAACTTGTCCTGCTTTGTTCTACACTCAGTCTGCACTCTGTCTTTATCAGCTCTCTCTCTCTGCTGCTTTAGCAGTTGATGTGTTGAAGTCTGCTGTCCTGTTCGTATATTGGGGTCAAAGTAATTTGGGGAAGACAAAATCATTACATACATTGAAGGCTTCCTAATCTATCACCATCTATCTCTTTTTCCACCTCGCTCAAACCCTCCTCTTCCTCTTTCTCTCACTTCACATGTCTCTGGGACTCTCCACCACGTCTTCCATTAATCTGTCTTTCTTTCAAGAGCTACTTTTTATGTCCACTCGTCTTTTTCTCACCTTTCTCTCCCTGTATAAAAACATACCATGGAAAAGGCATGGTAATATTGTGTTTTAGTTTCTTGGTATCCTTTTAAGTACCCATTTAACATTTAAAGGCATAGCTTTTCATTTATAACATTAATCATCTCTCTTTGTCAGGTTGTGATGGCAGTATCTCAGCTCTACTGGCATTTGTCTCCTAAACATGAACTTAGCGTCATCACCAAGTCTCTGGTGAGGCTCTTGAGGAGCCACAGGTAACATGCACACTATGAGAGAAATGAGATGGAGATGATATCAAGATCAAATATGTCAATCTAATTCCTGTTTTTGGTTTCACTCTCTGCTCTATTAGGGAAGTTCAGTACATTGTGTTGCAGAACATCGCCACCATGTCCATTCAGAGGAAGGTACTACAGACTCGCTGAAACTTTCATCCTGCTTTTCTCATGAAACCCGAATATATTATGAACAATGTTTAAAGGGTTAGTTCACTCAAAAATGAAAATTCTGTAATTAATTACTCCCTAGTGTTGTTCGAAACCCGTAAGACCTTCGTTCATCTTCGGAACACAATTTAAGATATTTTTGATGAAATCTGAGGGCTCTCTGGCCCTCCCATAAACAGCAAGGTAACTACCACGTTCAAGGTCCAGAAAAGTACCAAGATGATCGACAAAGTAGTCCGTGTGACATCAGTGGTTCAACTGTAAAGTTACAAAGCTACGAGAATACTTTTAAAGTGACCTGACGTGACATGTGGCCAAGTATGGTGACCCATACTCTGAATTTGTGCTCTGCATTTATCCCATCCAAAGTGCACACACACAGCAGTGAACACACACACACCGTGAACACACACCCGGAGCAGTGGGCAGCCATTTATGCTGCAGCGCCCGGGGAGCAGTTGGGGGTTCAGTGCCTTGCTCAAGGGCACCTCAGTCGTGGTATTGAAGGTGGGAGAGAGCGCTGTACATTCACTCCCCCCACCTACAATCCCTGCCGGTACGAGACTCGAACCCGACTTCCCCAAAGGGAATTTTTGCGCAAAGAAAACAAAAATAACGACTTTCAAAGAGAGCCCTCAGATTTCATCAAAAATATCTTAAATTGTGTTCCGAAGATGAACGAAGGTCTTACGGGTTTGGAACAACACGAGGGTAAGTAATTAATGACAGAATTTTCATTTTTGGGTGAACTAACCCTTCAATGATTTAGAATCAGTTAGGCCTAAATGTATTAGTCCATTTGGTAAACGCTGAGGTAATATTAGAGGTAGGCCTTAATTTCTGAAGGAAGTCATGAGGTAAAATATGTAAATTGCAAGGTTAGATTTGAGGTAAACATTGAGGTAAAATCAGAGGTGGGCCTTAATTTTGAGGGATATCATGAAGTAAAATATGAAATAAATCAAATGTAAGATCTGAGGTAAAAACTGAGGTAGAATCAGAGGTAGGGATCAATTCTGTGAGAAATCATGAAGTAAATCTCAGGGTAAGATGCGAGTTTAAATCAGAGGTAGTCTTCAATTCTGAGAGAAATCATGAGGTAAAATATGGAGCAAATTGCAAGATAAGATCTGAGGTAAAATCATAGGTAGGACATGAGGTAAAATATGAAATTAATCATAAGATAAGATTTGGTAAAATCAAAGGGTAGGTTTCTGTGGGAAATCATGAGGTAAAATATGAAAAAGGAATAGATGTGTGGCCAAGTATGGTGTCTCATACTCAGTTTTTACCAGAATTTGTGCTCTGCATTTCACCCATCCAAGTGTACACACACAGTAGCGAGTGGTGAACACAAACACACACACACACACACACACCGTGAACACACACAATAGTGGGTTCGGTGCTTTGCTCAAGGGTCTCACCTCAGTTGTGTTAACCATTTGGCCACGACTGCCCCCTAAGTAAATCTTAGATCTGAGGCCTCAATTTTGAGGGAAATCATGAGGTAAAATATGAAGTAAATTGCAGGGTAAGATATGGGGTAAACACTGAGTTTGGCTTAAATTATGTACTAAGGGTAGTATCTAACATAAATTGAATTTATCACACATTTTATCTTCTGAGGCAAATGCTGAGTTAAAATTTGACGTATAGGCCTAAATGAAGCCACAAATAAACTGATGTAATATCTAAGAAAAACATTGAGGTCCTGATTAGTCCTGAAATGTACTGAAGTAATGTCTGAGAAAAAGCTAAGGTAGAATCTGGGGTATTGGTTGAGGGGAACACTGACTGAAAATCAGAGATACAAATTTGATGTAAATTAAGTATAATCTGAGGTGAATAGTAAGGGCAATAGTCTGAATGTAGAGTGGATCTAAATTTTGAAGTAAACTGAGACATTTTCTATGTTAAAACTGAGGTATGCAGGTAAAAAGTGTGGTAAAAGGGAAAATGGCAAACACTCAAATCTGTGGTAAAGTCTTTAGGTAATCACTAAGGTTAAAAACAAGAATCTAAAGTACACACTACGATCTGAGGTAGCCCTGAGGTAATGGCTGTGCTGTTTTTAGGGAATGTTTGAGCCCTTCATGAAGAGCTTCTATGTGAGGTCTACAGATGCCACGCACATCAAAACACTCAAGGTAAAACATAGACTTACCATCATTCAGTCTTTGTGTTTGTGTTGAAGTGCTGTGTTAATGTACAGTAGCCTTGAAACTGTCATCATCTGCTGCTTCTTCGTCTTCTCTGATGTATTTCGCTTTTGTTGAAATCCTTTAGCTGGAGATTTTGACTAACCTGGCTAATGAAGCAAACATCTCCACCATACTGCGAGAACTCCAGGTAAATTTTAATAAATTAAATTGATTCTGAGATAAAGGCTGAGGTTTGAATACTTTTGATGCCAAAAAATCCCGAATAGCAGTTTTAAGCAGCTGTATGTGTGTTCCAGACGTACGTGAAGAGTCAGGATAAGGCGTTTGTGGCGGCCACCATCCAGGCCATCGGCCGTTGTGCCACTAACATCTCTGAAGTGACCGACACCTGCCTCAACGGCCTGGTTCTGCTGCTGTCCAACAGAGACGGTAATCACACACTAACCTCACTGGAGCCTTCTGCTTTTGAAGTTATTGCTTAGTTATCAGCAGTGCTTCTGGTTGCCTCCAGATGGCAATATGATGAAGTTCAATGTTTTGCAGTGTAAAGACAAAATTGAGGATAAAGATAGAGCCATTATCTCCAGAGATGAAAACGTGAATATTCTTTCTGACAAACGCATGTCATAGTCTCTCTCTCTCTCTCTCTCTCTCTCTCTCTATATATATATATATATATATAATTACATGTATATGTGTAAAACTTTAAAACGTCAAAATATAACTTATTCATATTTATTGAAAGGGGAAAAGAGAAAACAATTTGTGATTTATGGAAGAATTTCTTGAATTTAAATCATTCTAATAGAAAGTCCATTTTTATTCAGAAACTATATTAATAGACAATTAAAAGGATTTCTCCTTGAATAATTGTAGAATTTTTGCCATACATTACATTGAAGTATTCTAAATAATTGTTATTATTACTATTTGTATTATTATTTTAGGTATGTGTATATTTTTGCATGTAATTTTTTTTAAAGACAAAATTGTTAAATTATTGTAAACGATGTTTTGAAATTATATTGTAATTGATTGATTTGTTGATTTTGCTACGAATGTAGCCATTGCTGCTCATATGGCGTTAAATCATAAATAAATCAAAATATAAATATGTAGTTGAATATAAATTATATTTAACATACAAATTGCATACAGTGTACAACTGGTAAAAGTAGAAAACACTTTTAAAATATAGTTTCTTAAATGTTTATAAGTGTAAAATATGGTAAACTGCAGCATTTAACTACAAAACGGATCACAAGGACTTGATTTATCTGATTTATCTGACTTGAAATAACTCCCTAAAGCTACTGTGCATATAAGAGAGGACATTTTTATATAGGAGCATGTGTATTAATTCCTCACCTCAAAAATGTAGTTTTTGCTTAGTTACTCCTCAACACTGGTTACTACAGTAAAAACATAGTATATTGGCTTATCAGTGTATTCATGTGTTTCTTCTCTTCATAGAGACTGTTGTCGCAGAGAGCGTCGTAGTCATCAAGAAACTTCTGCAGACTCAGCCATCACAGCACAGTGACATCATCAAGCACATGGCCAAACTCTTCGACAACATCACTGTGAGACACGAGTGCAATATCACACAACTGTAGTGTTATAGTGTGCAACTACAGTCTGATTCATGTAAATGTAACACTTTATGTATTTCGTGTCCATTTCCTCTTTAGGTCCCGATGGCGAGGGCCAGCATCCTGTGGCTGATGGGTGAATACTGTGAACACGTGCCTAAAATCGCCCCCGACGTCCTGAGAAAGATGGCCAAGACCTTCACCAGCGAGGAGGACATTGTCAAACTCCAGACGGTCAACCTTGCTGCCAAACTCTACCTGAGCAATTCCAAACAGGTCAAATCAAATCACACTTTGGGTGGGTGTTTTGGCTATGTTTTATCTTACTTTCTTTATCTCATACAGACTAAACTGCTGACTCAATACATTTTGAACTTGGGCAAGTACGATCAGAACTATGACATCAGAGACCGAACGCGGTTCATTCGTCAGCTGATTGTCCCAAACGAGAAGAGCGGAGCCCTGAGCAGATACGCTCGCCGCATCCTGATGGCACCCAAACCGGCTCCTGTCCTGCAGTCTGCCTTCAAAGGTAACAACCTTGAAAAGTCACATCAAGTCATTTGTATTTCTTTAGTGAACATATATACTTTTTTTGTGGTCGAGTACTGTATTCAGATTTTTAGTCAAATATTTGATCAGTTTATCAGAAATTGCTTTTTGCTATTACAGTCTTTGTAAAAAGGATTTTAAAAATGAATGAAACCGCAAAGTATGCAGGTTTTCAGGCCTGGAAAAGTATAAAAAAATCATTTAAATTTCTGAAGTATTTAGATAAATTAAATATTTAAAAATATTTGTAGTTAGGTAGTAAAAAATTGTAGTAACATTTTATCAGCTAAAAATTAGTCGCTGTAAAATGCCTATTAAAAATAAATGTAACTGCAAATAATGTAGATTTTCAGGATTGGGAAAGTCATACAGTGTTGTGTAAATTTCTATAGTGAATATACTTTTTTTGTGTGTAGCTAAGTACTGTAGAAACTGCAAATAATGTAGATTTCAGGCCTAGAATAGTGTTAAAGAGAGTCATTTAAATTTCTGTAGTGAACAAAATGTGGAGTTAAGTAGTAAAAAAATAGTAAAATATTTTATCATCGAGAAATTACATTTTGTTGTTGAAGCCTCTGTAAAATGATTTTTAAAAATAATTAAATATATTATATATTTATATTGTATATATATTTATAAAATATATTATATTTATTTAAAAATAAATAATTTAGTTTTTCAGGCCTGGGAAAGCCATAAAAGTTTGTTTCAGTTTTTGCATAATTTTTTTTAATTTTTATTGCAAGTTAAGTAGTAAAATATTTTATCAGCTACAAATGACTTTTTTGTATTTGCAATCTCTGTAAAAATGATTTGAAACTGCAAAAGACAATGTAGTGTTTCATGTCTAGAAAAGTCATAAATATAATTCTGTAGTGGACATAATTTATAATATGTGACCCTTAAGTCGCTGGGGTCGCAAAATTATTGATTTTTCTTTTATGCCAAAAATCATTAGAATATTAAGTATAGATCATGTTCCACGAAGATATTTTGTAAATTTCCAACTGTAAATATATTCAAACTTAATTTTTGGTTAGTAATATGCATTGCTAAGAACTTCATTTGAACAATTTTAAAGGCGATTTTCTCAGTATTTAGATTTTTTTGCACCCTCAGATTCCAGATTTTCAAATAGTTGTATCTCGGCTAAATATGGTCCTTTCCTAACAAACCATGCATCGATGGAAAGCTTATTTATTCAGCTTTCAGATGATGTATAAATCTCAATTTTGGAAAATTGACCCTTATGACTGGTTTTGTGGTCCAGGGTCACATATGATATAATATGAATAAACATAATTTCACAAGTGATGGAAATTCAGTGGTCATAAGCTAAGGGATGCCTGAAAGCATTCTGTGCAAGATTCGAACCTACAACCTTTCAGTTACCAACACAGATCTGTAAACTCTAGCCTATATTGCTCACCTTTAAAGCTTTGTTGCATGATAAAACAGCTGGAGCAGTTAAAAAAATCCAAAGCCGTCAGTTTCTCGTCACGCTCTGATTCTAAATGACATGACCACCTCTATACGAACTCAAGAGTTCTGCTGACATCGATTTCTCCCACGTCTCTCTTATTTCATCACATCATTCCATTCCAGCAGGGCTTCAGAACTGAAACACACAACACTGCCATGAGACTTCATCCCCGCAGGCCATGACAGCAGCGCTAACCCGTAAACATCAATACAGCACGCAGAAATACTCTGCAACCGATTCTATCAAACGCCACACAGTTATTTTTTCCCGCCTCTGAACTGGGCATTTTTTTCTTTCTCCGGATTAGCCGTGTGGGTTTGTAGGCTACGCCTTCTGTTCCTCCTGTGCGGAATTGAATTGTTGGATTTGGCGTAATTTGATAACAGACAGTCGAATCTGTGCGTCCCGTCCGCCCCGCACACACCCACACGTCGATTTACTACTACCTCCTGTACGTTCACGCACTTCACCTGCAATCAAACGGGAGTAATTACACTCACGAGCAGGAAAAGGGTGTTACTCATTTGCTCCTGTAGATACACGGATGGACGGATGGATGGATTTGGGTTTAGCAAGAAGGATGCACTCTGTGTGATTGATGCCGGCTGTCGCTGGGGGTAATTTTTGTTGTGCTGAGTATCGTTCTCGGTGCTTGGTAAAGCGTGTCCCGCTCTTAATAGGAGGTAATAAAGTTCGAAAGGGCTGATTATGCTTCACTGTGATGAAACTCAAAGCGGCACGTCTTTGTGTGTGTTTTTAAGTCACGTGAAGACGCAGGTTGTGACATATGATCTGTGCGATGAAGACGAATCATCAATAGTCCGAATTGATAATCTACTGATTTCAAATCTGTGCTGCTGTTTCTGGCTCTAATTTGCTTTAATACAATGATTTCATGATTGTCCCCATGGTTACTATAGATTAGAATACTGAAACATGCAGCCATTAGTCTTTATTTCATTAATGCGGTATAAATTTAGCCTATAACATTTGCGAGACATTTAACTGCTGCTGTCATTTTTATTAGTGGTGGTTTGGATGCGCTGTGTGCGGTGGTGTTTTTCGCTCATGTTTATATTCTGCAGAGCTGCAGTTATTATGAGTTCATATACCTCGGTTATTACGGGACGTACCCAGCGTATTGTGAGAAGGGCACACGGGCAGATCTGAATGCCGTGGCATTTCTGCCAGTTTAATGTCAATTACCCAGCAGGCCTGTGCGGACACTTATTGCTTTTTTGTTTATTATGACAAAGAAGTACAGTAATACCCAGAGTTAATAAACTAGAAGATCTGAGTTTATTAGTCTTTGACTGTCTGCTTGTTCAACACAGTAAAGTTTGTTTTCGAACACTTTTATGCCACATTTATGATGAAACTATAAAGGCAGCTGAATACTTATTAGATTATATTGGAGTAGATTACAGTAGATTCAAATTTATTGTGATATTATATACACACACACAATGACAATAACATTGAATCTAATCTAGTATATAATCTAATCTACTATGATTTAACAATTATAATTATATGCATGCTTACATCCATAATTAGTATGAAATATTATAATTAATATTGTTATATTAATAATCTATTTAAAGTGAAAAATTAAAAATATATATCAAAGTTGTGTTTCATATTATCTGGAAAATATTTTCTAAATATTTTAAATTGACACTTAATTTTTCTGTTAATAAAATATTATAATTTGTGGTTAATCTCATAATACCAGTGTTTAGAAAGCAAAATCAAATGGCATTTCAGGAAATTTTAATGTTTTATTTTTTTATTTTGTATTTATACATTATTTTCTATTTTATTTATTAATTTATTTGTACTTGTACTTTAATTTTTGAATAACCTTCACTGAAAAGTTTTACCATTGAATTGATGTTTGTGTTAGTGGATGGCCAAATTAGCGGGTTTTGCTTTGATATTAAAATGTTAAATGTTTTTGGCCACTGCATAATATTTGATGGTATCAACATATCGTTACTGATCCATCGCTTGGTTTTCCTCTTTTTGTCTTTTTTTTTTTTTTTTTTCAGATCGAGACCGGTTTCAGCTTGGCACGCTCTCTCATACTCTTAATTCCCAATCCAATGGATACCTGGAGCTTTCTGATTGGCCGGCTGTCGCTCCTGACCAATCAGTGAGAATTGTGGAGGTAGTAGAACCGGTAAGACTCCCTTTTATTTTTAAAAGATAATCTTCACATAATGTTAAAATGTCTTGTGTAATAAAAGGGCCTTAGCATACAGTTCATTCACAGTGCAGTGATGTTACCAAGTCTCGAATTATTATGACCTCATTTCCTGTTCATTTGTGACTGGGGCAGGTGAAAGAGGCCGGAGCACCACTGCTTGGTAAATCCAAACCTGGCAAATCAGCTGAGAAGTTCTACTCTGATTCTGAGGAGGAGGAAGAGGGAAGTAGCAGTGAGGACAGCAGTAGCAGCAGCAGTGAAGGTAAAACATGAGCTTTGACTTGTTTAGTGTTAAAGGATGTTATAGCAAATTTGAGGTTTGTCTTAACCTGTTTTTGTGTACATGTAGAATCAGAAAGCGAATCTGAGAGTGAGGAGAACAGCGATGATTCGAATAAGAGCAGCTCCAGTGAATCAGACTCAGAAAAGAAGAAGAAAACTCTAAAAAATAAAAAACTACAACAGCAGAAACCGGACAGCAAAGACAGGTACTGGTCTCACTCAGTGTAAAAGACCTCATTTAAATTAACCAGTCATGACCTTGCTCTGTTTCTGAGCCAATCACATTTATTCTTTCTAAACAAATTCCTGGTGGTTTTTAAATTTAATTTAAGATGTATAGCAAATGTACACTACTCAAAAAAGGTTTGGGATCAGTAGGATTTAAAAAATTTTTGGAAAGAAATTAATTTTATTTAGCAGTAAAACATAAAATGTTAAAAAAAGATTTCTGTTTCAAATAAATAAGCAGCAAATCAGCATATTAAAATTATTTCTGAAGGATCATGTGGCATTGGAGACCAGAGTAATGATGCTGAAAATTCAGCTTTGCATCACAGGAATAAATTACATTTTTAAATATGTTCAAATAGAAACCACATATTTATAATTGTTATTATATTTCACAATATTACTGGGGGTTTTTTCTGTGTTTTTTTTAATCAAATATATGCAGCCTTGCTGAGCATTAGAGACTTATTCAAAAACATTAAAAAATCTTGCTAGACACAGCATTTTTTCAATTAAATAGATGCATCACTTATGCATAAACCTTCATTAAAAGTCATGCATGTTTACTAAACACCCATTGAATGCTACCGACAAAGTAAGTGCTCTGAATTCCAGCGCTTTATACTTGCACCTCATGCTGTTGCCTATTTTGAAGTGTTATGTGCGTAAATGTATAGACAGATGGTATGCGAGATTGACTTTGGTAATTTTAACCGCATATATTGGGTGTGTTTTGCTCAAGTGTGCGCACAAGTGGATGCACAATGTACAACTTGGGTTTTATATATGTGCAGGAGGTAAATAATGTGTGTGTTCAGTCTGTGTGTTTGTGTGATTGTGTATGCTGCAGCATAAAACGTGACTAATAAAATGTGGCACCAATAATCTCCCCCTCCATCTGTTCATATGCACACATACACTCACACACTCTCTCTCTTTCTCTCGCTCACACACATGCCAGGCCTCTACAATAAGGATGTTTTCTCGGTAGTTTAACGTTTTCACTGGCCCCACCACAACTATGCATTTTATTTTTAGCAAAGCATTTCTGTGTGCCGAAATAAACATTTGTATTTCATTGCATTTTTAGTTCGCTTAAGTTTCAAAATACACAAATATCTGTGAATTGAGTAGCTGTAATGCAACTCAGTAAGTTCATACATGCACATTTTGTTTTAAAAAGCAATGGTATCCAATTCAAATCATTTAATCAGTTTTTGATTTTGAACGCATTTTTACTGATGCTTCCGAAAACTATCAAAAGTCACTTTTGCAATTTTGCTAACATAAGTAACAAGTTTAAAATCAGCAGAATATGTTTAGTTCATTACATAAACCCAAATGTTTACATTTGCAAGGCATAAAACGCACAAACATGATGACTTTTTCTATCCTGTCCACACAGAGTTTGCACTGTTAATTGTTGTGATGTAACGTTCCCGTAGTTGACCCTGCTGCCTTTATTAGAGGCGGTAATTAAACAGCTAACACACACACTATACACTCTTTGCCTGTTTTGTTTGCTGTTCTGTCATTATTGTGCATAATTTAAGGCTCTCACCTCCGTCCTCAACTACCGTGAAATTCTCTCATTAATACGCACACACAACCTGCTTTAATGCTGCCGTTGAACTGTGCACACTTCAGTTAGATGGTCTCTCTGTGTGTGTGTGTGTGTGTGTGTGTGTGTGTGTGTCACTTGTTCTGAGCAAATGAAATCCAAAGGCCAAATGAATCCATCTAATCATTTTACAATTAAACATTAGGCTTGCTGCAATAGACGGTGTTTTCGGTTATACCGGTGTTAAGCCACAACACCGGTTACGTCATTTGCTTACCGCCGCCCACCGTCGTTTGATTTTTTTTTATAGTAACAAAAATCATATAGCCTAGTTCAGTTAGAGGACAGACACTTTTAAAAACTAAACGCTCAATGTAGCATGCCGAACCGTGCGAGAACAACAGTGCACCACGGAGCAAGAGTCAGATTTTATTTATCACGTGAGGAGAGTGAGTCGAGCTGACTGACAAGAGTGAGGTGAGAAAGACAAGATGATGGCAGAAGATTGTTTAGAAAGGAAATGTAAAGGTGTCTGTTTGGCAATATTTTAGATTTTGAAAAGCCTATTGACTGGAAGTTTTTTTTAAACATTCGTTTCTTATTTATTTGGTTCCACAGTGTTTGCTGATTACTTTATTTAAACTTTGTGTATTTTATTTATTTAATTTTACATCAAGGTGTATGCCGTGCCTCCAAGCTTTTTTTATTCGTTTTGCTAATAAATGTTCTGTTTCTTATTTATTCGGTTCCACAGTGTTTGCTGATTACTTTATTTAAACTTTGTGTATTTTATTTATTTAATTTTACATCAAGGTGTATGCCGTGCCTCCAAGCTTTTTTTATTCGTTTTGCTAATAAATGTTCTGTTTCTTATTTATTCGGTTCCACAGTGTTTGCTGATTTTCAGTTTTATATACCTACTTTGTGTAGCCTAAGTAATTTGTTATTTTATTAGGCATAGGCCTATATGGTGTATTTTTATTTTTAATAAAAGTTCTATGAGTTTGATGGAATTTAATTTAATTGAATCAACGCCGAATTGCTGCTAATTTGAAAGTGAAAGTAAAATGTGCACGGCGC